GCCCAGCTTAAATCACTTCGTATGATAATTCCCAAATATTTGCAAAAGCTAGCTTCAGGAATATTTTGGTCCCCAAGAGAGTAATTTAACGGATCCTTCTTCCGTGCTCTCGTGAAGATTATTGCCTTACTTTTATTCGGATTTATTTTCATTTCATTTTCTACTGCCCAGTTTCCCAATCTATCCAAATCTGTCTGTAATTTTTCTGTATCCTTGACATTTAATATAACAACTGTCCTTGCCTGAGGAATGATAAACGACGTTTCAGAATTTGGTTACGTCTTGAAGTCATTTTACTGATAAATTTGCATATTAGTTTATTTCTTAAAAGGTCCTGAGGTCAATCACAATTGCCGCCAAGAATCTTAAATAAAACCCTCTTGTAGTACTCCTGTACCTAATGACACACATATATAGGCTCAAGTAAATAGAACGTCCGAAACGTGGAGGGCTTTTATTTCAGGCAGTGACAATGTCATACATAATGCCGTTGTAATGGATGAATCAAAGTGAACCTCGGACAGCATTGCTTTCGAGTACAGACAATTCTTTTCGCAGAACCTAAAACCAGTGCAGGCTGTAGATGAAGTAACAGGGGAGACGTGTGTTTAGAGGACAAGTTTGCGCTGTGTAAATGTAGACGGAAAGAAAGCAACAGAAATATTGTCGATATTCACGTGTATCCGCATGGGTATTTGTGATTCTTTTAAATTTCTATTGAAGTATATTTAACGCTTCAGCGAAATACGTTAAATTCATATTTGAATAAATTTTATACTTTGTCTTTCCAGGTTTTTTTAATGAACATAACAACTGAAATACTTCTCGGACAACTTAAATACATGTTGAACAAAATACTTAATAAGAATCTGGTAGAATAGGTGTAAACTTACAACTTACATTGATAGTCGTTTTGAATGTTCAGACCTATAAAACTGAAACTTTGTTTCTAACCGATGTTATAATATTTTCTGTCCTCAGAATTTGACGATGAATTATTTAAAGTATGTCTCGTCACAGAACGAAGTTTTAAAGAACACTGCCCTCCTTCGTGTAACTTATAAAGGAGATGTGTACTGATGCCGTTGTTATTTTTCGTTATGTTTTACTAAGGACCTCTTTCCTTTCCGTGTCTGACGAGCGCGCACACATGAAGACGATTTTAAGAAGTTTCAACGCCTCCCGCTGAAGGCATTAACAGCTATGGCCACACGCAGCCATAGAAAGGAGCTGCTACCCCGTGACATTTTTAGGTGATAATGATTTTTGTACCACCTGTTGGAAACAAAAAATAAATAAGTAACTGCTATTGTACATAAGCACGCCGACTACACGAGTAAGAACTTTCTACTTCGTGCTGCTAAGCTCAACCCTATAAAAAGAAACCAAATTGCCTAGTGCCTGCATGGTATACTGGGACCCGCTAGTCTATATGGACGTCAGTTATAAGAAGATGCACGGGAAAATGTTGAGATACTTGATAGGATGCGATGATGTAGGTTTATTTTAGGCCTAGTGCATAGAAAACCCTTCTTTAGCCTACTCTACACGAGATTTCTGAAAAGGAAGCAGCTTCGTCATTTCCTTCCACTTGGATCGCTTATGTTTAGCGTATTTACGAGTTGACTCTATCCAATTTCTTTATCCTTCATCCAAAACAAGCTGGCAGTCACATAATTGGAAATTACGACAAAAAATGTAAGCACTTAATATATAGGACCAATGAAATGAAAATTACTAATCGTTACTAAGGACAACATGCAAAACTATGGTTCCATATTACAAGTTCGAATTTATAAATTCTAGAAGTACTTTCTTAAGTTTTCTGTCGATAAACCGCATGAATCTTTAGGCCTAAGAAATAAGGGTTAAATATAAGACTCAGATCTTCATATTTCCGTCTCATGCCTCCAGGGCTGACTGAATTCGAGCTGCATGGCTGGGTTAGAATCCCGGGAGGAACAGGGATTTATTTCCCTCACACCACTTGGGTCCACCCAAACTTCTGGCTCCTTTCCCGGGTGAAAAGTGAGAGGAGCGCAAAGCTCGCCACTTACAGACGTAAAGTCTGAAATACTTTTGTTTTAAGTCACTGAATTTGCAAGTGAGATATGTTCAGAGAATATATACCTTTGTATGTCAAATAAGATTATACACATATAATTAAACGTCTATGTATCCACAGTCCGTCAATAATACAACAATTGTTTATTCACCATTTAACACTTAACACAACATGTTTCTGCTATAGATGGTCATCTTCAGGTGTCTTAATGCATCCAAACTGTTACACTGCTCAGATGTGCGCTAAAATCGCTCGTTGCATGCGTTAAGATGCATTAAGATACCTGAAGATGGCCATCTATGGCCGAAACATGTTGTGTTAAGTGTTAAATTGTGAATAAATAATTGTTGTATCATTGACAGACTATGTGTATAATTCTGTATTTCAGCATCCTGTTGCAAAACTTTAATTAAACGTCCATGTATCTTTTTCTTCTATGGCGCAACAGCCCGATGTCGGGCCTTGGCCTCCCTTATCAAACCCCTCCATTTCTCTCTGTCCTGCGCTGCTCTCTTCCAGTTCCTTACACCCATTCACTTCTTCGCATCTTCTTCCACCGCATCAATCCATCTAGTTCTTGGTTTCCCAGCACGTCTCCTACCACCCATTGTACTGTACAATATTTTCTTTGGAATACGCTCCTTATCCATTCTCTGTACATGCCCAGCCCATTGCAATCTTTAAAGCTTTATCGTCACTGAGATTTCTGGCTCCTTGTATAATTTGTATAACTCTTTATTATATCTTATTCTCCATATCCCATTCTCTTTTATTGGTCCATAAATTCGTCTTAGGATTTTCCTCTCGAAAAAATTGATGACTGATTCCTCTTTCTTGTTTAGCGTCCAACCCTCACATCCATAATAAAGCATCGGTCTTATCATTGTTTTATATATTTTTGTTTTAATCGCTGGGTGTATCATTTGATCTAAAAACTGATAGTAACGAGAAATATGCAGGTACAGCTCCACTGTTTTTGATCTCGGCACTAAATGGAGGTGAGCGATCACCTTTACATTCCAGCCGCTTTATCCTTTGGACACAGCCCCGGACACCCATTGCATAGAGGATGTGTGGGTTTCAGAACCACTTTGGAAGCTATAGATTTGAGGAGAATTTTTCACTTCTGCTGGGAATTGAACTACGGCCTGCAGCCCGTCTCTTTACCGACTGAGTTTGAATATCATTGAACATTCAGTACTAATTTTTTTCTTGATGTTATAATGTGTACTAGGAGTAAGAACATCTTATATTCTATATTCATATGATAAACTATACCAAAACTTGATCCCAATATCAACACCAGAGGACTGATGCACCTACATGAGCAACCCTATATCCTGGCAAGTGAACCAAATTTACATAAACTTCATTACTTCTGATGATGTGTTTTGATACCTTTCTTTCATCCATAAAGCCTTAACTTGGTGTATCAGATTACCTTTCTACAAAATGCTGCATACCACAACGCTAATTCTATATCTTGGTGCATCAGTAAGTGGAAGCGAGCAATACATTTATTGTGTACCGTGTATACTAGACTGTCAATGGGCACCGATTTAAGTTAAGTCTACTGCATCTTCATTTACGCGACGTTACTACGCTCATCCCGTCCTTCATCTGTTCCTACTCAAACTCAAGCCAAGTCGATATTACAAACATATGACAAAAATAATTACACATTTCATATGTTAGAGATTATATATAATAATATAAAGCTATCCCTGTAACAGACCGTGAAGATCCACAGGCTTCTATGACGTCGAGGCTCCAACATTTTCTACATAATCGGCTCACAGATTGTCAGACTTACGTACCGGCCGCCCTTAACCCCCAGGAATATTCATGGTACTCATTTCTGTTAGAGGCTCAGTCGACCCCAATACCATAGTGCGGCTGGAAAGATTAGGCCAATTTAAGAATCTAATGACTTCATCGTGAATCGAACCCGCGACCTTCCGGCTTGTAACATAGTGCTTCAACTAACTACGTTATCGCCTTCCCCATAAGGATGATGCGTACAATCTATATCTGGCGTTCAGATCCTTGGAGAATATTATTTCGAATGTCAAAATTAAAGTTGTTCCCGTGTTTAACTAATTAAGTACTATACCATGAAGTCGTATGGAAGTGGATGTATAGATCCACATTTTCTTCATCTCGTCATTGTCGGAGACAAGTGGTCAGTTTTACACCCTGGCCGCTTTATCCCCAGGTAAAGAGTCCCCGGTAACCATTGGGCAGGAGATTGGGTGGACCTCAGAACCGGTCTGGAGGACGCGGAGAAAGAAAATTCTTGACCCTACCGGGATTCAGACTCTGAACCGTTGGTCTCCCAGCCCACAGTCAGTCTCTATGCCGACTAATTAGTCTTACAATATTTTCTTACTTGTGTATAACTGCTGAGGTTGAGAGTTTACGAACCAAACACATAGTGCATAGATAGAGGTTAAAAAAATGCGGTACTTTATAATAAATTTGGGTGGACTTAATATTATGACTTGCAGAAAACTTAACAAAAACTGTGATAACTGACATTCTAATTTAATTCTTTCACCTCATTATATGCTGAATTACAGTTTAAATATGAGTTTTAAAGCAGCCTCAAGGAACCTGAAATTTTCGAAAAGTGCGCTCGAGGACCTGGGTATCAAAACAAACACTGTTACCTGTAAATATCTCGCTATAATCTTCGATCAGTTATTTTTGAATATATGAAATTATATTTCTATAAATCTGTATACTATTGTAATATTAATATCTGTTATTCATTCACGTAATATAATTTAAGATAGTACATAGGGATAAATTCTGTAGTTATAATCTATTGGTTACTCCTGGTAAAAGCATGGCGGGAATCGTTCTCCTAGTTTCTCCAGGTACGCGGTGCTTAGGACAGCGTATCCCAGCATCTGCTTTCCGTTAGACATGCACGCCGGCATCTCTGACAAAGAAGGGAAGAAAGAAAAGGAATTCCAAGATGTCTGCTAACCTGTGGCCGTAGTACGAGAGAAAGCAGCAGACGCTGTGGCAACAAGATTTCACTCAGACAAAAAATAAAGTAAGTTCAATTGAGTAGTTATAAGAACGTTAAACACGCTATAATTCCATGCTCAGATATCGAACCTTGGCATTTTATTGATCAGTAGAGTTCAACTAAGAATTTTTTTGTATAAAGTATATATTATTAAAAGAACAATTGGTGAATTGTGCTCAGATCACGTAAAAGAGCAGTGACTATATTACTCCATTATCCAACAGGCGTTTACACATGCTGCTAAAGATATCTTTGTGTGTTCACGCACAATTTTGTAAAGAATATGAGAAAAAATATTATTTATCAATAATTTAGCACATTCCAATTGTTTGTATTGATTTTTACATGGGAAGTGCGAGCATTTTTTATGTTATTTACGTAGAGGTCCATTGAACAAACTGATTAAGTTATTTTTAATTTTGAAATATCAAGAGCATAATTTAATAGACAAATAGTGTGAGTTATTAATCATTTCCTGTTTCACAAACTGCATAAGGAAATATGGATAGATCTTTTACTTTCATGAAGTGCTGCACTTATATGCATAATGTAAGAAATATTATCATTTCCTCTCACAAATATTATATTTTACATATCAGACTTCTTGGAATTGGCGATTAATATCTGTATTAAAATTAATATTTATAAATCATACCAGACTCGATACGTACCAATAAGATGCAAAGTTATTTTGCCCATTATATCTACTAACATAACATGATGCTGAGGTGAGTTGATTGTAACAAGTTCAGTATTAATTATACTCGTGTTCACTGCCCACTTGGCTAGGCTATATCATCAGACAACGAATCGAAATTGAAAGAAGATGAAATATATTCACTGAAGATAACTGGGACAAATAGAGTGTTCGTTGCTATTAAATTCTTCAAGAATTCTGTACATAGGTTACCTGTTTCAGAAATATAGGTTTAATTTATTTAAGTACACAGAATAAAATAACATGAATAACTCGGTATGTATCAAATATAAACCCTTTTGTTAATATATATTTACGTACCTCGCTAAGCAGAGTTCTTGAGTAGCTGATGGTCTCTCATCTAGTCACTATATTTCCCGTCTTTACGGAGTCTTTACTGTGTTCTCTAGAGCCCACATTCGGACCCTATCCTGAGCGAGATAAACCTAGCCCACGATCCTACACAATGTTTCTCTTTGAATATTATCCTTCCACTCACGCATAATTATCCAATGTGGTCTTTTCCTTTAGAATATTACTACTAATATTCTGTATGCATTTATTATCCCTTCCTTGCATGTTACATGCCTCTCCCATCCATATTCTTGTTCAGATCATTCTAACACTTAACATCTGACGAAGAGTACGATTTATCCTATAAAATTTCTCATTATGCAAGTTTTTCGGTCTCCAGTTACTTCCCGTCTCTTAGGTTGAAATAATCACCTCAGAGACCTGTTTTATAAGACCACAACCTGTGTCGGTCGGTTGTGGTAACAGACCAGTTTACATACCCACCCAAGGGAACAGTTGCTTAGTATGTTTATTCGGAAGTTGATGGGTTTGTCACTTAGAAGTAAGTGGTAATTATACACTTGGATATGTGCGAATACATTTAAAACTGTAGGCCTAAACTTCGTATTGAGTTACAATTTTTATCCAGCGTGTACCCCCAATTTCTTAATATTAACTGAATCAAATTTGCAATTAGCATAGATTCTAAGTATTATACATATTTTCACATGTATAAATTCTTAAAGAACAGAACTGGAAGCTGAAATAAGACATTTTGGCTTGTTACATTGAAGCTGATATTTGGGCAGTGATGTCAGACAGGGATGCAATGTAGGAAAGCAAAGTGATCTTATAAAATCACACTAGAGAAATAAAATTTTAATTACAGAAAATAATATAACGAGCTTAAAATGACATCTAAAAACCTAGAGTCAGTAGATGGCTTGAAATAATATTAATTAAATATCAATGCCTAATAGACAAGAACAGAGAATATGTATCTAGAATTTTAAGTTATGATGTACTGTAACTTTAATAACGTTCATCATCAAAATGAAATTGACCATAATATTAATCATGATGTTAGTTTAATTCATATTTATTTACGTGTAAATTTAAGGACTCAAAAGCCGATGAAAAGTGAGCAAAAGGTGAGAAACAGAGAACAAAAAAAAACACACACACAGAACATGGCAATTTGTATAAAAATCAATTCACTTATGTACATGCAAAGTTTATAGTCCACAGGACAATTACAAAATTAAAATAGTAAGAAGAGGATGAGGGGAAACACAATATAAGGCAATTGCTATAGTAGTATTAGTAGTATTTCTCTTAAAAATCAAAATTATCACTAAGAAGTGAGAAAGAATTAATTCCATTAATACAAAACTACAAATGTTATCAATAAAACGGGACAGAAGTAAAATATAAACGCTTACAATGAACAATATTAGAATTTTAATGATTGGAAGAACCATGACATTTACAATATATGAGGGTAAAAGTCACTTAATTTTTAAATGCAGAAATATATAATACAATTAATCGAATCGTTTCTATAATTATTTACGTGCTTATAAAACAGCCTAAAGGCAAATAACAAAAGAAGAATAAATAATTAATATTATTATTATTGCTATTTATTGTGTGGTAGTTGTTTAATTTATAAACAAAACTCAAAATTAAAATAAATTTCTTGAAATATGCGGTTATGATCAACTACAGGTCTTTGGGAATATTCTCATGTCTCATTTCAGCGCTCAAGCTCATATTTTATTCACGTAAGTGGGTTAACAAAACGGGCTTAAAGTACGGGTATCGAAGGAGTTTTGGCATGCTTTTCAAACCTTCAAGTACCCTACAAACGATGTATTCTGAAGAGGCCTGTCTGTCAAAATGATGTCTTCTTTAGATTTGAAATGCCACCCGAACGACAGAAGCGCTATCATCAGACGGTCTGGCCAAACTTTTACGAGGTGGTCGCCGTAATTTCATGGCCCATAAAATTGCGTGTAACACTTCTCTTTTTTTCACTATCTATCTCGCTTCACTTCCCATATTCTCACTCCACAAAGAGAAAGAAGTAAAATAAAAACAATTTAAATCTCTTATCATCTTGCTGCGATTATTCCTTGCGTGTCACTAATAAATTCTATTAGAAAACAAAGAAAACTCTTGCATTAATCACTGTAAGATATGGTGTTGGAACGATTATGAACTACACTTAACAGCACTTCTTTGTGTGTGTCATGATCCATTATTTTGATGCGGTAGCAACTTGAACGTAGTATACTTTAATTCTCGTAGACGGAATAATTTAGAATCCGTAACATGATGTTTTACATTTCCAGTGCTTGTTACGAATCTCATTTGAGTAGCTAGGGCGACAGTAACGTGTTACAAAGGAAGTAACATTGTAGCTTAATATCCAGATGACAAGATGAAGAACTAAACCGAGGATTCAAATAGATCATTATTTAAACTGTCACATACACCATGCGATAATATTCAAGAACTTCCTTTTATTGTAGCTACATGGCAATATACAAAAGTCGGATATAATTAAATAATAAACAGCCCTACTTACTTACTTACCTACATATGAAGCTGAGCCCTTCTTGAGGAGAAGCCAAATCTGCAACTACTCCAGAATTTCCCAGCATTTTATGGAACCCGAATATTCATTACCGTGTTCACAAGAGCCGTCCATACCAATCCATACCATCCCATCTTATTTCTCTAAGATCCCTTTTAATATTGTTCACCCCCTTACACCTTGTTCTTCCCAGTGGTCTCTTTTCTTCTGGCTTTCCCACCAATCTCCTATAAGTATTCCTCTTCCCCCACATTCGTGCTACATGCCCTTCCCATCTCATCCTCCTTGACTTGATCATTCTAATTTTACTTGGAGTAGAGTACAAGTTATGAAGACAATAAATAGCCCTACCTCAATTATTAAGCTTAATGTGGGTCTTAAAGGAGATATCTTGACTGACTTGAATTCAGATTCGATATTCTCGCAAGAAGCATAACAGGTATAGGCTAAACATATTATCTTAGATAATTGGCGCTACAAGGTATACATTTACGTTATATTCCATATGCAGGTGTGTGGCTCCTCATTTTGTTAATTAAGTTATATTTTTACCTCCTCTGACAAAACTGCATACGAATCGCCGTTTACTTTAGTACTGCAGACAATGAAATGTATTGGGCCTGCTTTAGGTGACAAACTGGCAACAACGCCTACTTTTGTTTACTCTAGTACTGCAAACAATGAAATGTATTGGGCCTGCTTTAGGTGACAAACTGGCAACAACGTCTACTTGTGAAGTGTCTTCACGGTGGGTATTATTGATCAGCCTGAAACAGTGTCAATAATCCGCTGTTCTAAATAATTACGTTTCAGATCTTCCGGTAAATATGAAATTACGTGGGCTTATGAAATAAACATGTTTCTAGGTTGTACATAAATACCGTACAGAATGAGATTTACTTTGACTTCTTTATTTAGATGGATGTGAGAATCAACAGTGAACTTTCAGTTTCTAATAATAGCTGTTTTATATGGTCGTGCAACAGCTCAGGCAGTTTGTCGCCGGCTTCCCACTGCGGCGGGCCGCAGCTCGGGTCAGATCATGTGGGATTTGTGGTTGACAGACTGGCACTAGGACAGGTCCACTCCGAGTACTTCGGTTCCCCTGCCAATCTTTATTCCGCCAAATGTTCCACAATCACCATCATCATTCGGTGCTGATACAATTGGCCAGTAGTGGCAGACGTACCAATGAACTCAGTCTCACCCCACTAAGAATAGAAATTATAGTAATTATAAAATAATAATAATAATAATAATAATAATAATATATGTTTCATGGCTTTATGTTAAAGGCCTAATTTTGCAAGGAAAAAAAAATCCTTTTGAAGAACTCTGCGTTCGTCGGCCAGACCTAAGTCTCTTCCTGCTGCCCTGGCGCCCTGATGTAGGTATATTTAAAATATGTGACGTAAGGAACACGGAGCCTGCTGA